CCCAACCTCTTATGCTGTTACTCTGCTGGGTCCTGCCACCTATAGCCCCAGTACTTGCAAAATATGCCTCTCCACTTTGCCTTCACTCTCCTCCAATACTGTAACATGTTTCACTCCACCTCCTTTTATTGGTCCTGCCACGTTCTGTACTTGTTACCATCTTCATGATTACTGTATTTACTTTATCACACCTCTCCCACATCTCTACCCTGACATGCAAATCCTCAAAACACTAAAGCAATCCTTGTTTTCTTGTAGGAGTAGATACTAGAAGGTATAGAATACAAGGGAGTAGAGGCACACACATGAAAACAGACAACATACTTCCATGTCCTTTCCCAAATAGAGCAAGAGACATTAGACATTGCAAATGAGGGTCAGATCAAGCCCGTGACAGCTAGCAAAGTAGAATGACAATTCCTGCTGTCTTTCTGCATTCCTTCCCTTTTCCTTTGTTCTCAATGCAGTCTTACCCTGACATGGAAATGTTTCACCCTTCCTGCACTGTTACTGGGTCAAAATCCTGGAAACCCCTTTCCAAAGGCACTGATCCCTAGTCAAGATAAATTGCAGCAGTTTGAAAAAGCAGCTCAACGTTATCTTCTCAAGGGCAGTTAAGAATGTGATGTCGGTAATGCTTGCATGTCATGAAAGAAGCGAAAAAGGAGGAGATCTGAGTGCATTTATGTGTGAGAATGTAAGGACCTTGAGGAGAGGAATTGATTTTGAATCACTTGAAAGGGGAAGGATGATACAAGTGAATCTCTGCTCGATGATTTTTCTGCCTTACATCTGGTGGGTTTGCTGTCACCCTGATCTTCCTGTTTTTCTACACCAGGTATATGTCTTAGAATTGATCACTTTCCAGGGCATAGGGTCAGCAAATGACTTTGAATGGACCCTTATTCAAAGACACCTCCAGACAGTCAAGATGCTTAAGTCACCTCTACAAACCAAGAGCCTCTGTTCTGGGATTAAGGACTATATTGTCACCTTAATTGTTTACAAACCTGATGCAGACTCCAGATGACCCTGCAACAAGGAACACAGCCATTATGAAGGAAATACGTCTCACATAGTAAACCTACTCAGGCTCAACAACAAATTCCAGTTCCTGAATATGCACATTGTGTGGGGCTCCCTTTCTTAACCCTTTCTCGCAGCATCTCCACGTCTATTCCTTTCTGGTGCTGCTGTGGTTTATTTTATATCCCCAGTAGCAGATCCAGCAATTCACTCTGGTAAAAAAGATCCTGAAGGTTCATAGATACTTTGAGAAGTTTTAATACTCAAAACAACCCAAAAAGACTCATAGGCGTACTAGCCATATCTGACTAGAAACTGGACATTAATGCTGATTCTATAGCTTGCTCCTGACTATTTCTGCTTCATATGATGGGTGGGCTTTAGAATTAGAAAACTTGACACTGAAATGGAGCCAAATGCTGAAAAGTTTGATATCTATTTTGCACTGAAAAATGGTTTGCAACAAGGTTAAATTTCACCCAATTAACTTTGAGGTTTTATTACCATACTGTTTTTATATAAGCCAAGGGGAGGCAATGGCCTAGCAGCATTATCTCTGGACTGTTAATCTAGAGATCTGGATAACACTCCAGGGACCTGCGTTCAAATCCCAACATGGCACATTGGAGATATATATAATATATATGTTCCAATAGCCACAGGTGCCAAATTCATTAATTCGCTGTCAATAAAGCATCTGCATTCCTTCAGAAAATACAGTATGATGAACCTTTCTGCTAACATCCAACTCAATAATTGTGAATATTTTTGTGCTAACATTATAGTGAACTTGATATAAAATGATGTGACCATTTACAATATTGATTATAGTTTGTAGTGTGATTCGAATGTGAGTATTTATATAGCTGTTAACAAGTAGACCTGTTTTAAGATCAAGCATGCCACATATCATGGTGAAATACTGGGGAGAAAATAAATATTAGCTGGCATGGTAAATATTATTAACATGGTAATCAGGAAGGGAAGTTGTGTGAACCAGAGTTGAATAGGGAGGAAATCCAGGAAGGGAGCAGGAGACAAATCTCATTGATGACTTGAGCTTGAAGTGGGCTGGGACGGGAAGATGATTGAGAAATTTCAGAGGAAGGGTCTATGCTTGAATTGTTAGGAGATTCATTGTTGGTTGAAGAGGAGGCTGGAAGTTGGGGATTGGGGTCAGAGGAAAGAGAGGGAGCAATGCAATACATGGGGGATCTGACATTTACAGGATGCAGGAAAGGTATGGACAAAGCCAGAAATGCTGAAGAAACTCCCAAGGCTGAGAATGCAGATTTCCAATTAAACTTAATGCTGTGGCCTCACTATATTTTTGTTCCATTTCTCGCTGATCAGTCATCCAAATTGATAGCTTGTCAGATATAAGGGATGGAAAATTAATGGCAAGAGGCCATAGCTCGGAGACTTGAGGATGATCCCCAGAAAAGACAATTTATGTATTTGGGAGCAGTTGGCAAATGGTGTTTGGGAGGGAGAAGGCTGCAATGAAGGAGGAGGGAGGCCATGATATAGACGGGAAGATGAGAGAAGCTGGCCATCAGAAGTGGGGAATTTGAGGTTTTCGTCAAGGCCATTCTTGATTCACAGAAGTACAGCCAAAAACCTGAGAGTTTTATGGTGCATTTCTTTCAAGATCAGGCCTGTCCTGTAGAGCTGCTGCTCCTCAATCCCTTTCACTGCTGAGATTCCTAAACCCTGAAAGAAGCCTTTGTAAGAGCAGTGATTTTTAAGTCAGCCTCCTGATCGCAGTATACCAGTACAAATTAAATATGTTAATGAAGTGACTTGCCCCATTACAAGAGAGTAATAGTTGTTTGGGCTCTTAGCCAAGCATATATAATGAGGCTTTGGTGAAAGATCAGGCATCACTATTCTCTTGAAAAACCTGAGTCCCTGCTTGATAGATAACTCTGACTGTCTGATCTTTGCTAATAATTTTACAACATTTGTTTTTAAAAGCTTTAGTGGTTTCAAGTGCTGTGCCATTTCAGCTGCTGAAACTTCAAAGGGTTTGGATGATCAACACTTTTATTGTCCTGTATTAAGAAGGAATTGCTTTTAACACATAATAGAAAGTTATCAATGGTTTATTAAAAGTTTTTTTATGGATTTAACTGCCAATATAGGGTTGTTTCATTCTATAAAGTGTATAATGGATGAATAGACATATAAATGTCATAGCCTGGCATAGGAGACTTAAGGGTTATGAGAAATGAGTGGAAGAGCAAGGCTGAGTATTTGGGGTCATGAGGCACCATAGGTAGGGTGAGTGAAGGGGCATAGCCTGATGTGGGAGTATAATGGGTCATGGGTCTTGTTTGGAGGACATAACTTTTACGTGGGAGCCATGACGGACTGTTTAGGTTGTGAGGAGAGCATGCTGTGGGATGGATGGGTTTTGGGGAGAGTGTGGGGGCTAAGGGCTATGGGATGAGGGCTGGAAGGCTCTTCTGTTTTTATTGCTACTGTGATGAAGTCCGTGTAGTTTATCCTATTAAAGATCTGGCTTTGATTGCATCTGCACATTCTCCAACATTGACTGGCCTGATTGCAGCCAGCAGCTACTCCACGATGATGAAAGTCCCATCTTGCCTGAAGTGGGGCACGCTGACCCAGGGAATAACCAATTCCCACTACTTGCCTCAAGAGTGAAAATTCAGTCCCTAAATCTTTAGTCCTACTCACTGACACTTTCCCACCCATAGTGGGGAGGCAGGGATGTTAGCAGATGAAGGTAATATCAAGGCCTGAGAGGGAACCTGTTGTATTGGTGGATGAAAGGGGACATCTACGAATCTGGTCAGTTCTGAGAAATGAAATGTGTGTACCTCACAATAAAACATGTGAATCCTTCATTTTCACAGATCCTTTTCAGTTGGGAGGACCAACTGCTTAGAAACTGCTCCAAAACTGCCAGTAGTCTGCCTCTGATTAGCAAGAAGAAATACACTAGGAGCAGGATGATGTCACTTTTTCCGTCCTGTGAGATGGAAATCCCAGCCCTCACATCCTACTTCATCAAGTGGCTTGAAAGAACTCTGATTAGAAACTAAACCGAAGCAAGTGAGCTTGAATGATTGATAGCTATAATCATGCAATTTTCAACCTTGTTGAGACCAGTCTAGTGTGTAACTGCTTAAGTCATGTTGCTGAAGTAGTCCACAAAAAAGCTGCTGGTACTGTAATTGTAATGTAAAGAAATCATCATTGACATGCACATAATGTGATGTCCGCTAGCTGGGAGAAGCTAATTTAAAATGTTCTGCATTCTTGTTTATGGTTGGGCCTATAAATTATGCAGAATATACTTTGAAATATCATTTCACTTGTAGCAGATTTGTCATGTTTAGAGGGCCTTTAATATGTCTTGCAGCAAAATGCTTACAATAGTATTTTGGTGCATGAAAATTTAATGTGGTTTTAAAAAGTATATGTATTACTATTTTTAATCATATGCAGTTGTGACCAGGTGATGCATTGTGCTGGGGGAGGGGAGGTAATGAGAAAATGAAAACAATGGTCTCAGTGTATTTGTAAGGGTTGACTTTGGCATAAACAAGAGCAAGTTATTCTTAGTTTCATTAAATCAAACTAATCACAATTTTACACTTACTTTTTGTGTGAAAGATTAAAATATGAGGCAGAGTTCAGGAAATGGGGGAACATAGATTAAACACATGAGAGTTCTTAATTTTTCTGTGGGGAGAGGAGTATTGCGTTGCTCCTTTAACACTGCTGGAGAAGATATATTATTGTTTTCTCCCAGGTAGCGTAGCGGGGCTGTACAAACCTCAGGATTATAAACACCAGTCTGTGAATTAGGAGCATTACATATTCTCTCTACATGGGGAAGCATTGTGTTTGTATTCAAGTGTGTGCTGCATGTGGTGGGAGGGAGATGAGATCATAGACATCTGCGAGATAATGACTGATGGGAGTTGAGAGCAGCATAGCATTAGGGCAGCTAGCAAATCAATAGCGTCTGCAGACGAATAGGATTTTTACATTACAGTTCCATTGCAGTCAATGTGTAGCATGTGAAATTTCTCATATCCAGGATTACTTTTCTTTTTAAATATTTTTCTCTTCATATACTTTATGGGTGCAGTGTAAAAAAATTATTTTGCTTTGGTTGTTTTTTTTATTGTGCCCGTTTTTGAGTGAGACAGCATCCACACTGCTTGCAGACAGATTACCATGCTGGGTTTGGATGTATGTGAGTTTGGCAGCCAGCTCCTGGAACTTATGTGGTTGACAGTATGCTACAAAGGTGAGGCAAGAGTTTTTAAATTACTGTTCTGTGCTGTTAAAATTTCAAAACCAGAAGCCCATCCTTTGTTTGAAGAGCTATACCGTGGATTTCCTGTAAGAGCAAAGCCTGCACTCTTCACTGCTGACTGAGCAGATTCTCCTCAATATCTCTGTTAAAATATTCCAATTCTTTCCACATTTCTGATCAAATTGCTTATTAATTTAGCTCTTGGTGTAAAGTTGCATTATACCAATGTTACTTAGTGATGTAATGTGCTATATATGTAAGTGTAAATTAACATTGGTAAGCCACACCCATATGCATCTTGCAGAGGAGAAATAACTTTCTGTTTCTCAGCAATACATCCAGCATTTGAGACGATACTTCTTAATGTATTGAATAAGGCTCAAGAAATATATCTGATGACCAGCTACAGCCGTGTGATGGGCTACTGTGATGGTAGTTTAAGAATTATGCTTAATCCCAATTCCATTTATTTTAGTAAAGCTCGATATTCCCAACTCTTGTGCGTATCTGTGAAAACAAAACTACTGAATTTTATGTGGGTCCTTTTTTCTCAGCAGTTTGAACGCTGATCCATTTGGAACCTTGTTTAAGCTATCAGATTTACTTAATACAAAAAAGATATGTTTTGAAACCTAATGATAGTCTTGAATACCGAAAATTCTTATATCATGGCTTTCTCCAACTGGACCATGCTGATTGGTGATTGCACTCACATTACCTGGGGCATGTGAAGTCTCTGGAAAATAAAATTCCACCATGATGCAGTTGTGATGAAGTAGTTTAACAATGAGAAGTATTTCTTGAACTGAAACTGTTAAATGAAAATAGTGTGCTGCTTTTTTTTCATTAGTAATGTAGATTTATACTTAAAAGGTGTTGACGTTTCTTGTAAGCTACCAAAGGAAATGATGCAGCGAGACCTTCTAGGCACAACATTAGAGCTGCATGGCCCTCCAAAAGTGTCTATTCTGATTAACATATGGTGCAGTTTGAGGCAGGGCTATCACGTGTAGTTACAGGCGTTCAGTGCATGACAATGGTTGTGCTTCAATTTCATGGGTTGGGGTATTGAGGGTTAAATCACAGGAACACGGAATTGTTACAGAGCAAAAGAAGATTATTCAGCCCATCATTTAGAGGATTCAATACGAAAATTAATCTGCACATTAACTCCCCAGTTATTATTATTCCTGGGATGTGAATCCTGCAACATTTCATTTTCTAACTGTTCAGTGTCTCGAATGCAGTTGCCCTAAAAGTGATACCACATTTTCTGCTGTTGATTCTGAGGCACTATTCACTTTGACTGTTTCAAATCAGAATCTGCAGTTAAGATTTAAACATGGTAACACTCTGTTTATCCTGGATGGCTGAAATCTCAATAATACACCCGGTAAAAGATATCTCTGCTCATATATGCTTACCCGCATGGGTAAAGGTTCTCCCAATGTTTGTATTATCTGAATGTTTCGGCTACTTACAGGTGGATTTAAGATGCTTATCAGAGATCTACATGGACCCTTGGCCAGCTGGCTGCAGAATGACAGTGTTGAACTAATGATCCATGTGGGTTCTGAAACCTGCCCTCTCACATTTTGTTTCACACTTGATTCAGAGCTTTATTGTAACTGCTTTACACTGCTTCTCAAATTGTAGTTGAAATGAAATCTGTTTTAAACTCTGGGGGAGCATTACACTTTTCAGTGTTTTATCATCCCAGTGTTTTGACAACAACAACTTCTTTCCTGGAATATGCGATGCTTTTACAAAAAAACAGATAATTGGAAATGCCATCACTGGGATTATCTCCTGCAGAGACACAGAGAAGGAAGGGTACACTCAAAAAGCAATTCAATGACCCTCGTTATAACTCCTGGAATTTCAGAATTTTGCAGTGAATAAGTCGATTTGACAGAAGAAAATGTTTGCATTTGTGTAGTACCTTTCAAAACCGCCAGATGTCCCAAAGGACTTCACAGCCATGAATTAATCTTTTGTGAAGTGTGATGACATTATAATATAGGAAAAACCACAGTCAAATTGCATACAGCAAGGTCCCCATCACGGACAGAATTTATATGTTCCCTTCACCAGCTATGATTAGTAAGTTTGTATGTAAGAAGTGTTTTCTTAACATCAGAGTGTGGATCCCAATTTAAGTTATTATAATTTTAACAATTGTAATTATCTCCGTCCCTTTTGTGACAGACCTATAGTTTCTGGAATGGTTTTGAAGATTTGAGGATGAAGTGGGGGCCTTGTAAAGCAAAAGATTCCCATCAGACTCTCAGACTTTTTACAATCAGGTGAGACTGAGGAGAGTAAATAAAAACACTTGACCCAGTTGAACCAATCTCTCCTCATAGAACAGTCCTGCCAACCCTTGTATTAACCCAGTGAATCTCTGCTGTACCCTCTCTATGACAAGTACATCCTTTCTTAGGAAGACTGAAAATTCCATGAAATTTTCTAGGTGTGGTCTCACCAAGATCCTACATAATTGCAGTGAGACATCTCTACTTCTGAACTCAAAGCCTCTTGCAATGAAGACTGATGTATCATTTGCCTTCCTAATTGTTCGCTGCACATACCTGTCCATTTTCATTGCCCAGTGTACAAGAACATCCAGATCCCTTAGTATATCTACACTTCCCAACATATCACCATTTAAATAATATTCTTGAATAAAATACAACCTTCTGATTTTCCCACTGAAGTGTATAACTTCACAATTACTCACATTGTACTGCCTCTGCCACGTGTATACCCACTCACTTAACTCGTCTAAATCATCTTGAAGGACTTTGCATCCTCCTTACAACCCCCAACACCACCCCCCACCATCCCAATCTTGTGTCTTCAGCAAACTTGGAAATGTTGCGTTTTGTTTCCCTATCCAGTTCATTTAAAAATCATGAACATTCAAGCACTGATCCTTGCAGCATCGCACTAGTCATTGGCTGCCATTCAGAAAATATCCATTTATTCACAATCTCTGTTTTCTGCCTGTTAACCAATTCTTGATCCATCCCAATATATTTCTCACAATCCCATGAGCTTTAATTTTGCCCACTAATCTCTTATGAAGGACTTATTAAAAGCCTTCTGAAAATCCAAATGCACCACAACGACTACTTCTTGCTTATCTATTCTACTAGTTACATCCCCAAAAAACTCCAGTAGATTTATGAAGCATGATTTCTCTTTCACTGACGTTTTCCAATCCCGTTAATCTTTTGCAAATTTTCTGTTAATACATCTTTAATAACAGACTGTAGCATTTTCTACTACTGATGTTAGACTAACTGACCTGTGTGTTTTCTCCCTCCACTTTAAATAGTGGGTTTACGTTTGCCACCTTCCAATCTGGAAGGACTGCTCCAGAGTCTGTAGAACAATTGTCCTTTGCTCCACTGCCTTTATTATGGGTCGGGTGATGCTGTAGGGTAGCATTGACTGGTTCCCCATTGTCTATCCCCGTCCCTTCAGCTATCCTGAAATTGACAGGTGCTTAAATCTGTACTCCTTTAAATATTCCATCTCCCCCCTAACAAGTTTAATTGGCCTCAGTGTGGAGGAGGATATGGACTCAACCCTCCCTACCCTGCCCTGGCACATGAAAATTGACACACTGTCTGATGTTGTCATTTTCAGACCCCCCCCCCCCCCACCCCCATCCCCACCTCAATGTCCATCTTTCAGGGAAGGGAGCACAAAGAAATTCAACCCTCGTTTACTAACATGATGTAATAGCAAATTCTGATTCCCATGGGTGATGGTTGAAGTATCTGGTCTGCCAAGGGAATGAAAGCACATCTGGTTTTCTCTTTTGTGAAATATAAATTAACAGGCAACTGTCTGGGCTTTCTCTATTGTCAGTGACAGAGATTTCAGAGGAGGCAAAATAACTTTTAAAAAAGAGCCATTAGTAACATTTTATTTAAATAAAATAGAAGGATTTGATCATCTATGACCCAAAATATTGCAAGAAACAAATTCATGGTAGGCATAAACTATTCTGTTCCTAACAGTGCATCACTGACTTAAAATGAACTTTTTGTTTACGCTATATGAGAATATTATTGTTTTCTAAGTTAGGCATACTCTGTTTAAGATGTATAAATTTACTCAACTAGAAAATGGTATTCTCCAAATCAAAAAGACCATTAGCAATAGTGTTGATTGCATTGCAATGCATCGCTGAAACCTTGCAATTGATATAATGGTGTTATAGGAATGTTAAGTTGTTAATGATGTGAAGCTGAAAGTAACACTTAAAAATCTGAAGCATTTACTTAATGTAAGAGGAGTACATAGAGACAGACTTCTAGTGTTTTATTTAAATTGCTGTTATATTTCTGTCCATTAATAAGATATATAACTTTCACGCCATTGATTAACATTAGTTTTCTCCAATATCTTTCCTAGTACTTTCCTGGGAGTTTGATCCCATTTCTCCAATATTATTAATGTCAAATGTGATATCAATGGGGTGTAGCACAAAATAAGAAATAGTCCATGTTACACTTTGTAAATCAGGGCAGCAAAGAGCTATTTCTCATGTTTTGCTTCCCCAACATGTATTTTATCTGCAATCATTTGTATTTAATTACATTCTTCAGTCTTCAAAGTTTGCATCTTTGAATGTTGGGTCTTAGTGAGTAATACAATGAACCAGATTGTACCTGAATCACCTTGACATTTTGCATCGATTCATCTAGTGCTCTATTGAACAAGTTTCTGCCCACATAGCTGGCCACACCTCAACAGTCATAAGCAAATATCCTCAAATTAGGCTTACTTGGAAGGTCTCTTATGTGACCAGAGTTTCAGGCACAGAGGGAAGATGGCTTTTTAATGGTGTTTTGCTGCAAAAGAATTTGTTTTTTTTTTCTTTATCCTGAATGATATCTTTTTTGTTTCATTTAATGCATATTAATGGCCTTAGTATGGTGCATGTTAAAAAGTGAAAAGCCTCCCTGATGACCAGGTCCTAAGTATGCTGTGCCTAATGTGCATACTTAGAGGAAGTGGTACCTTGCTAGTCTTTGATTGTTACTGTTAAGACATAAAACCATAAGATATAGGAGCAGAAGTAGACCATTCAGCCCATCAATTATACTCTACCATTCAATGAGATGGTGGTTGAGCTGATAATCCTTAGTTTCATGCCATTTCTACACAATCCTTGATTCCTTTGGTGATTAAATAGCAACTTTAAATGCAGGTGTATTTTAATAAGGTTGGGATGAAACTTAGCCGTAACCTCAAAAGAAGCATAATGTGGGTTCATTTTATAATTTAACTCTGGGTTGCACCCACAGAGGAAGGTCCTGTCCTTTTTGCTATTCACGTCACACACAAATGTATTTCTCTGCAACTTGGCACCAGATTGTATTTGCAAACAAAATAGTTTGTCAAATATCCCCAGGAAGATGAATACAAATACTTCTACATGATTTGTCACTTTAATGTATAATGATCCTTGGCCTACTTTTTGTATTTCCTGCTTTTACTGTCTCGCTGAGCCATCAAGACATTTGTGCTAATGTAGGCCACAGGATCAATTATAGGACCTCCATTCAGAAATCAAACCTGTATTAGCATAAACTGCACCCAGAGTCTGATTTAATGAAACTGAGTCAACACAATTGCAGCAAATTACTACTGATAGTCCGACTTGGAAACAGTAAGTAATTACAATGTTGAGTGAGCAGCCAACCAAACATGGAAAGTGCAGGCTATTTTTTTTGGAGAAAATGTGATGTAAGAAATTAATTTAAATAAAAAAACACATGCTAACAGAGCATATTTCATGACCTCAGGATTTAATGCTTTGCAGACAATGAAGTATCTCTGAAGGATAGTCACCTTGTATTGTAGCAAACATGACGCCTAATGTCCACAAACTATAGTGAATAAATGGCCATATAATGGGCTGTTGGCATTGGTTGAGAGATAATTGCTGACCAGAAAGCATGGCAAAGTTTATGGTCTTCTTCCATTCATGCTGAAGGATCTCTTGGGTGTACCTGTGAAAGGACACAGAACCTTATAACCTTTCATAACCTTTGACAATGCTCTATTCTTGCATCACTGTACCGAAGAGATAGCCTGAATTATGGGCTTGTAGCCAAAATGTTACAGAGCCCTGCCCATGAGTTTGAAGGCTCAGGAGCTTGTTAAAATGCAATGTCTGGCCCTTATGTTATTTGTTTGCCCTAACTAGTCTCCTGTATAGCTGTGGTTATGTTGGGCAGCAAATCTGCCCTTGTATGCATTGAAGCCCTTAAGTGCCCAATTAATTATCATTTAACTATCTGATCTTGCCCTCTGTCTCTATATGACCCATGTCAGGGGGAGGCCCACTTTTGGTGGGTAGCCTGGCAGCTTTCACTGTGCAGGCTGGTGTTGGGCAGGAGAGTGAACCAGCTTTAGGGATCCTCTGCCCATCAGAGGCGTATCCTACACGGTCAAACCTCCCCTTTCATCCTCCTCCGATCTCTTGAATCTGGTGTCCCACTTCCTTCACCCCACCTCACTGGGGCCTGGCACCCCAGGCCTTGCCAATATGGCAGACCTACCTAAGCATCCAGCATCCATAACTTGCTCTTCCTGTTGTCCCAGCATAGGCCACTGCTTGTAACTCTCATTTTGGGACTGCAGAGCTGGGACAATGCTCTCCCCATAAAGTGGGAGGGGGGAGTGTTGAGGCAATGAGTGCCTCATAAAGTGTTAAATGGCTGATGGGCAGCCATGTTCAGTGGGGATGTGTTCCCCATCAACTCTTCAGAGGGGTATGAAACTGAGCTATCGGAAAAATCTGCCCATGTCCAGAATGAAGCTTGAACACAGCAGTATTTTGCCTCAGAAGCCAGAGTGGTGTCAGACAGCCAAAATGACCACCTGAAGGGCACTTCCAACATGGGCAAGCAGGTTGGATTGTGTGATGGTGGGAACCCCGTTATGCTTCAATGTCCAACCGCATTCCCACATACCAAGATTACCAACTGAATATGGGGCAGACTGTAAAGTGACCCCAGGCCTGTGCTTCAACCTTCCTGTGTCATGATCAAGAATCATCCTGGTGGTCCCTTGCCTTTGAGATAATCTGCATTACTGGGGTGCAGTGAAGTTGTAGACAGATGTCATAAGTCACTTATGATGACTGCAAAGTCCAGTCTGCAACAGAGAATAACCTAGAGAAGCCAATCAGTAGTCAAACCAAGGTTTCATAAATTAACATTTCTTGGCATCAAAATATTACATAATATAGAAGACATAATTAGTTTATTTTACAGAATTATTTGCTCCTATGTGTCTTTTAATTTGTTTTTCCTGATGAAATGCAGTTTCAGAACTCTGATGAAGTCAGTTGAAGTCATCCTGTTGCACTTGGTTTAATGGCTTAGCAATGGCTGCCTTTCTGGAAAGGCAAAATCTGCTAAAAGTGCTACACATCACGTTGTCCCTTGCCGCTAAGCAAGGCCGGCACCTGTTACAATTAACGTTGCTATTGACACCAATTCTCAGTTAGATTTTCCTACTTGTTGTGATTGATATAGAGCGCTTTCATGTCATCTTTTGACAGCATTCTTGAGGCAGATCCTTCAGCACTTGCTGAGTCTCTTGCCATGGTCTACCTCCATGTATAACATGACTCTGTGGATATAGCCATCTTCTGTCCTATGCACAATCCCAAGCCAACAAAGCCTTCTTTGTTTGATGAATATTGGCATGCTGTTTGTGCTAGAAAGGACTGCTCCATTGGTGAGTCCAATATGATATCAAAGTTGTGTGGAAGATACTGGAGATGAAAGTCAATGAGCTTTGCTTTTTGGTACTTATAAGTTGTCATTCAGGGATAAAAATATTCACTGTTTGAGTCTATAAAGTGCTAATGTAACCACTTAAACAGCAATATTTCTCTTAGCACTGTTCAACTATCAAATCTAAACTCTTTAGTATCAAATCAATATGGCAGTCGGCAAAGTTAGTTAATGTTAATAAGCATGAGTTTTATAACATTTATGCAGTTTTTCTTATTCAATTAATTTCTTATTGCAGCCAGCATCACTCGTCCCCTCCTTTCACAGGATTGCATTAAATGCATTCTGAAATGGCAAATTAGTGAAATAGGATCCCATCTAATAGACTGCGCTTATCGAGAAACACAAACACCACGATTGCAAGGATTCTGTAGTGTGACAACAACTTGTTGGAGCAGAGAATTGGTTCATACAATTAATTTTATATTTATAATATACATTACAGTCTTATACTTGCAGAAAGTTTGCACTTGCATCTAATTATTTTCTACCGTACTTCACCAGTGGTTCTGGCACTCAGTGCAAGCATTAACCATCATGCCAAGGTCATAAATACATGATTGGATCCTGACATTTAGGTGCTAATGATAGACACCCTCTTGCTACATCACCACCAATGATCTCTAAAACCCAACTGTTAAACCAGTAGCGGACAGTAGTGGGGGAATGATTGAAGCTGTATGTTATTTAGTACTATTTGAAATTCTACCTCCGCACCCCATTTCTTATCACATGGGTGAGATTAAAACAACTGTCTAATCATTTGAGATATTGAACCTTTGTGCAAAAGATCTGTTTTGCCATTTTGCAGAGTTAAAGTAGAATTAATTTGCCTGATATCACTTTTTTTGTTCCTTTAGTTTGGAGATCTCCACCGATCTGCAATGGTGTACGACCTAGAACTAGAAGTTTCTAGAACTAGATATTTCTGACCTAGAAGTGCTTGAGATAGCATAAACCCAAATGTTCACGAGGATTAAACTATTCTCAACCTTTCACACACAATTTATGTGTTATTTTAAAGTTTATTACAGATGATATTGACAGTATGTAATTGGAATTTTCTTTTCAATTAATAAAAACCAACTATTGAACTGAAAGCTAACTAACAATAAGTCTGTGTACTTTTTTTTCTCAGATATTATGGCAGACAAGGATCCAGAGATATATCCTGTAGAAGAGGATGCCTTGGTTGACTCAAGCTACAGAGCACCAGCACAGAAGACACTTAAAGAAATTCAGGAGATGGACAATGATGATGAGAGTTTGAATAAATACAAGCAGGCTCTTCTCGGCTGTGGGCCTCTAGACATAGGTTAGTATCTGGTTGATACTTATGTAGTCAGTTATATGACAGTCAAAGGGATGATAGTTTGATTTCCTATCTGTATACAGCCTTGAAGTAATAGTTTGAATTATTTCCAGATCCTTAATTCATTTCTTGAAATGCTAAATGCACTGTTATGCAAATTGAATGTTAGACTAGTTGCCTCCCAATTAGCAAAAGTAATGTGAGGCCTGCATTAAAAGATACAAACGGGCACATTAACCTGTGGAAACATGAAGTAAACTGTATCAACTAATTAAAATAATACATCCACTCAGAGAAAAATATAACTAGAAGCCTGGATTTAATTGCAGAAATTGCTGGAAATATAAGATTTGAAAAGAGAAAAGATTGCTCCTGTGGTGTTCAATGGTTTGATTAAGTACTGGGGAGGCAATAGCCTAGTGACATTATCAGTGGACTGTTAATCCAGAAACCCAAATAACGATCTGAGGACTCTGGTTCGAATCTCGCTGTGGCAAATAGTGAAATTTGAGTTAAACAAAAACAAAATCTTGAATTAAGAGTTAAGACCGTGAATCCATTGTTGGTTGTCAGGAAAAACCCATCTGGTTCACTAATGACCTTTAGGGAAGAAAACTACCATCCTTACCTGGTCTGGCCTACATGTGACTCCAGATCCACAGCAATGTGATTGACTCTTGGGGATGGGCAATAAGTGATGCCATCATCCTCTGAATGAATAAAAAACAGATTAATCTGTGTTTGATTATTGTTATGGCCCCAGTTAGTGCTTGTAATTGTAAATTGTCTCTCTAAGCTACATACCTGTACTTGATTTGATTAAACCTGTGGGTGAAACAAGACAGCTAGTTATGCTGAGATGCTTCCATAGAAAGATCTGAGATCTGGATTAGACCATGTGTATAGGAAATCCTGTAAGTTCTGAGATGTTAAAATATTCTAAATAAATCTGTTCTGATTCAAACCTGGAATCTTCACTGCATTATGCTGAGAGAAATCAGACACCTAAGGTGTAAGGCAATCTGGTGAATAGGTAACAGCTCCATATTTTTGCTGGATTTATTTCATTTGGAATTATCAAAAGTAGCTGAATGTAAGGGATTCTTCCTGCCAATCTGCTGACCTTCTCTCCACACACAGTCTCTCCCAAACCTCTGGTTTAATCTTCAGTTGAAAATTTGTTGGTTTGTTGCTTTTTCTTTTTACTGCAAAAGGAAAATCTGTGGCTAATGAATTGGGATGCACAGGGGTGGTGAAGAGCTATCAAGACCAATTTTAAGATTTTGAGTGGAACGGTTGCGGAAGGGGTAAGAGAGCAGGGAGAGAGGTATAAGGAGCTATGATTCATGGTGATAAAAAAGAAAACAGAAGCAATATACACTCTTCCATTTTAGTTCTTCCCACCTCCTCAGTTGTTATAACTGAGTTGCAGGAAGCATCGGGTAGAATTGACATGGGGCTTTATTGAACAGCCTCCATGACTTTGGTGGAAGATTTGTGAAAATCCTAAAGCTGCCCCAAAGGTTTCAGTTGACAGTTTGGAGAACAATGGGAAAAATTCATCCCATGAAGCGATGTTAATTACTGTTAAGTAAAAAAACCTTTCTTGACACTTGTCCAGATTCTGAAGGTGTCTGTTTCAGGTGTCCCACTCATGATAACTGCAGTTGTATCATCACAATGGCCCTCCTCTCACCCAGGCTTAAATGGGCTGAGGCTGTTGTTCCCCCAATTTATTGGCAGCCCCTGCCTCCCCAGACTCTAGGGGGACATTAAAGTCAGCCTAATGATCAGGTTTTGCATGTCATAATGAGACTAGTACAACAATTTGCTGCATCTATGTTTTGGCTTGGCTGTTTGTTACAAACATTCCACATGAACATTGATTGGTGAAGGAAATTGAAGTGCGCTTCTTAAACTGTTCGGAGAACTACATTGTGAGTGCGGGTGGTTGAGGGGCCCACTGAGAGCTATATAACAATAAATATTAAAATTAATTTGAAATTCCTTGCCAAGTATGAAATAACCTCTATCCAGTTTGGAGATCACAATATGAAACTTTGAGCAAAATTTTCCCAGACCTTGAATGAGGTGGGCTATGGCAAGAAGTTTAATGGTTTGATATAAGATGCCAAGAGAGGCATTTCAAGAGAAAAATCAACAAGTCACATTTCCCAACCAAATCCCAGACATTGAGACTCAATAGTGAGCTGTGAGAGTGCTATTACATGAGATTATCACTCATTATTACCCTCACTACCACCTAAGCTCACATCTTTAATATGCAAGCTCCCATTTATTCCAGCTGCCACATAGAAACAAGATGCCAAAGATTCCTGACAATGAATGTCAAAGTGGGTAACCAACAACTCCAGCTCTTGCTCCTCTGGACCTCCAGCTTGGAGATCTGGCTCCAACATCTTAGAGCACAGACTAAAGGCAATGACCTCACACACACCTCCCATCTGTGGATGCTGGCAACTGACACATGGCTTACAATATGCTCCTGTCATTCATTGTACATTTCAGAGCGCACTGGCACCTCTCATTGAAATACTATTATAAGTACGTTGTACACAGGGACAGGCACCCCTGTCTTGTGTTGCATTTCAGTGTTTCCCCCCTCAGCCACACCTTAAAGGCTCACAGTACTTCTGACATGCCTTCCAGTTTAGCGCAGATACAAAATGGGAAGATGATAGAGCATGGGAGGGAAAGGAGTCATGTGAGGGTGTCATTGACTGTAGGTAGTAAGCACCCTAGCTTTCATGGGGAAACAGCGCACTGTTATGCCTGGTATGTTTCCTTGCTATGCTTGGGGCTTGGAGTGTGAAATAGGCAGATGAAGACTGACATAGACTTGTTGGTTGGTGACTTAGGGAAGTGCAAAGCCTATGGGGTTGAGGGAAAGGCTACCAGGAAAGAGATATTTACACTTGGGGATTCACAAGGTGGAGACATGGAGCATGAGACTCACTGTTTGAGGAGTGACCTCTGCTACCTTCCATCATGCTCTTAGTAACAAATAGGCAACGGATATAAAAAGGGCTTCAACCACACAGGGAGTAGGTGGGGAATGTACTTTATTCTGTGAGGGAGGGGACTTTGACTTCAAGCAATGTGAGTCCCTTCAAAGGGCAACAGCATTACATAGACACCCTTACGCTGAAGCTGAAAGACTCCTGCGAGCTGATTTACCAAAGTAGCAATCACCAGCCGTTTACCCGTTATCTGTGTGTGATGCAGGAGGTGCTCTTGCCCCACCTTGGAACATTGACTAACATATAGTGTGAAGGATAGGTGGGCTCTGTTCCTTCAGTGTTGTAATGATGGCTAGACAGAGACTCACAAACACAGCTGATGGTGAAAAGTGAACATATGTTTACAAAAGCAGAGACTTGTTTACATTGATGTATCTCTCATGTGTCCTGATAAGGTCTTCTTTCTTTCCTTCCAATGTTCTGTAGAGAAGGCGGAGGGAAGCTGCTGTACGGTGGAGCCCATATACCTTGGAGATTTGGTGATCCTAGGGGTGTTTTAGTTTAATGTGTTGAGTGTCTGCTGGCCCCTCCTTGACTTGAAGCCCCACAGAGCTGAGGATGGCAGGCAGGGAGAGGTGGAGGGACCAACCACATTCAGAGTGTCCTGGGAGGAGGCCTTTGGGGGGTGGGGGTGGGGCTGGGGGTGGGGATAGTGCTGTGAGTAGTTCCTTCTATGGCTCGGTGCCTACTGTCCTGTCTACTTGTGAGGAAGAAGCATTCAGAGTGAAGTCCTGGTCCCTTATCCCCCTGTTGCCTTGCTGTTAATGCTGAGCACCAATAGCTCGAGCGATGGAATGCAGTTCTGCGCACATATCCATCATACTCTCAGCGTTTTGGCCCTGGCTGTCGATGCAGTGATGGAGGCAGCCAGACGGCCCTCATGCCTGAGGCAGCAGGATCCCAACAGCGTTATGTCAGTTTGCCCAGTGGTTCTGACAAACCTGCCCGTTTCTCTTATGGCTGACTGTGTAATTGTATGAAGTCCCTGATAAAGTGACACCATGAAGACATCCCCTACCAACGACTGAGCGGGTGCCTCGTCTCCTACAGTCTTCGGAGTGCCAGTGACCTGGGACTATTGACCCGCCAAATGCAGAGTTGTGGCAGTGAAATGCTCACCAGCATGTTCACATGACTCTAATCTAGAAAAGATACCCACCGAAGTCTCAGTAGCTGAGCTGGTGAGGGGTGCCAAAGGGAGCCTTGCCAGTGCTTCCTCTAAGGCTTCCCTGCTCTCTTCCTGAGAAGTAGACAAGGGGATGTCCTGCAATGAGCCCTCTTGACCACAACCACCCTGCTGACAAAAGAGCGAAAGCACCATGACCAATGATTAAACATTGTGGCATGTTAACAAGAAATTCACAGTAGCGGGGTGGGGGACAATGAGAGAACAATACGACAATGACCAATTCTTCTTTCTTGGTTTCTGAGTCACGGAGGTTCCTGCATCTCCACGGGACCGATCTCGGTCTTACGTTCTAGAGCCAAAATCTCTCCTTGTAAGGGGCAAAGGGACAAATATCTTGCCCCTTCACCATACTGGCTCTCCACTACCCCCCCACACCCCCATTATGGATGATTTTCTCCTGAAATGAGAGAAATGAAAGAGGACGGCACACCTGTTAACACAGACACAGCTGGAGGAAGGTGGATGAACTGCCCTGGGTGAGTGAGTAGACAGCACAGAGGCACTGCAGGGTTAATGGTATCAAGGTTGAGGAGAGTGTCAGTGAGTGACGAAAGATGCTGCAGGCAATATTAAGAGTGGTGGAGCATGACTGTTGGTGGGAAAAGGGTGCAGTAACAAAGATAAGGTAAGTGTAATGTAGCAGAGAGAGTAGCACTTAGCCAGTAGAACAGAGAAGATTATTGACCTCTTTCCTACGCTGACGAGTGTTTCTCCAGATGGTTGAGACCATACTAACCCAGGTGGTAACTTTAGTTCAGATTGGCAGTGTCTAG